TTTATATGGTTGGTTAGTTTTTTGGTGTCTACACCTCCCAGCCTTTTGGGTTGTACAGCTACACTCCCAGACTTTTTTTTTTTTTTTTTTTTTTTGAGACAAGGTCTCACTGTGCAGTTCAGGCTGGCCTTGAGCTCACTTTGTAGCCCAGGTTGGTCTCGAACTTGCAGTGATCCTCCTGCCTCAGCCTCCCGAGTGCTGGGATTACAGGTGTGCGCCACCACGCCTGGCCCACAGCTCTTTCATGCACAAAATAATGAAGCAGTTCACTGTCCAGATGCCTTTAGAAGATTAAGTGATACTTCTTCAGTTCTAGCTTCTCCAAACCAAGATTTCTCAATTTCAGCAGCTGACATTTGGGACCAGATGATTCTTTGCTGGGGATGACTGCCCTGTGCATTGCAGGATGTTTGCCAGCGTTGCTGGTGCATCCGCTACGTACCAGCCCTTGGGCCGCACCTGCTCCCATCTTCCTTGATCGAGCCTATCAGAATTGTTTCTAGACATTGTGAAATATCCCACAGAGAGCCATTGGTCTAGACAGTACTTTGGTAAAACCCCTTCCTTTGAAATGCGGAGGGCCTCAGGCTATCCCATCTAATAAGATTGTTTTAATGAATAGTTTGCAAGCAAATCTCATTTGCAAAAGCTCTGGAGATAAGACGGAGGCACTCTGCAGTCAGTGCTGGCCTTAGTACTGGAGCCCTTGGACTGTACATGTGTGTCATTCATTCATTTATTCTATATCCTGGCTACTTCCAGGGGCCTTGGAAGTGGTTCCAATTTATCTATCTATCTATTTATTTGTTTATCTATTTTTTGTCTTTTTGAGACAAGGTCTCACTATGCAGTTCAGGCTGGCCTTGAGCTCACTGTGTACCCCAGGCTGGTCTCCCACTTGCAACAATCCTCCTGCCTCAGCCTCCTGAGTGCTGGGATTACAGGCAAGCGCCACCACGCCCGGCTGCTCCAGTTGATTTCTTCCTCAGAACATCTGCCTCTGTCTGTGTGTTGTCCAGGCATCCACGCTGTGTGGGGAGTACCCTTTCCTGTCAGAGCCCTCTTCACATTGTATTCTGATTTCCTGTTTGTCTCTCTGCCCCATGGACATGGAGGATTATTACCATCTTATTCACCATCACATGCCCAGCCTCTGGCTGGCACACAAGAAGTGTCCAGTGCACATCTGTTGAAGGCATCTGTGGTAGAAAGTGTAGTACAGTGGGTCAAAAACATAGGCTCATAGCCGGTTGTACATGCCTGTAATCCCAGCACTAGGAGGCTGAGGCGGGAGGATTGCTATAAGTTCGAGTTCAGCCTGGGCTACAAAATGAGCTCAAGACCAGCCTGCGTAGTGAAACCCTGTTTCAAACAAACAAAAACCAAAGACATAGGCTCTTCCTAGTTTCTCTAATTTACAATAATCATTCCTTGGGCTTATTTGGAACCAGGAACTTTACATGCATTATCTTGCTAATCATAAAGAATCCTTGTGAAAGGATCCTATTTGAAAGGTGAAGAAATTGAGGCTCAGAGAGACAGAGTTTATGACTTGGGTGCTGGTAGATTAATGATACAGGGAGATATCAGAACCTCCAAATATGATATAAGGGAAATATTATAACTCCTAACCTGTTAGATGTCTGATACCCCTCTCTAAAATCAAAAAATGAATTATAAAATCAAAGACTGAATTGAATAACAGAGGTTAAGAACAGGAAATATTTATTGAGGGATAGAAAGCTCCTACCTGAGCCGGGCATGGTGGCACACACCTGTAATCCCAGCACTCGGGCGGCTGAGGGAGAAGGATTGTTGTGAGTTCGAAGCCAGCCTGGGCTACAAGTGAGCTCAAGGCCAGCCTGAACTGCATACCAAGACCTTGTCTTAAAAAGAAAAAAAAAGGGGCTGGGGATTTAGCTCAGCGGCAAAAGCGCCTGCCTGGCAAGTGCAAGGTCGTGAGTTCGGTTCCCGGTACCGGAGAAAAACCAAAAAAAGAAAAAAAAAGAAAGAAAGCTCCTACCTGAGAGGGATGGGAGAGGACACCCGAGAAGTGGGCTGCTCAGGACCCTACTTCACAGAGGAAGCTTTACAAAGCACAGTCGTGGGTACAATGTGGATTACATCTATGATCAGCCAATAAGATTATAAGTGTAGCTGCCTAGGTAATATTGATCCAGTGGGGAAGCGAGTCACATAGCAAGTGGCATGGAAAGAACAAAGAACTCAGGTAAGTGATGGATGGATGGGGGTCTCGGTTGTGCACTGAGGTGACTGATGCCTAGCTAGACTTTATTTGATCAGGTGTTATTATTTATCTCATCCCTTGGGGAGTAAGAAGGTCTGGTCCTTTTGTTATCTTTTTTTCTTTTTTTTTTGAGACAAGGTCTTGCTATGTAGTTCAGGCTGACCTTGAACTCAATTTGTAGCCCAGGCTGGCCTTGCACTTGCAGCAATCCTCCTGCCTCAGTGTCCCGAGTACTGAGATTACAGGTATGTGCCACCACACCCAGCTTTTTGCTGTTATCCTGAGGCCTGGCCTCCAACTGATGGCTCTCCAGACTACAGCTGTGGTGTATTGTCACCTTCTGTCTTGATTCTCTGGAGGGCCCAGCCCTATCTGACTGCTTATAACAGTCCTACCTAACTTAGCTGTCTATGATAGTAAGAATCCCAGATTTGGGATACACCCACTTGCAGGACCAAGTCTAGTCTGGCTTGGTATTCTACCTCCCCTGTTTTCAGTCATAGACCTGTGTGTTGGTTCTTGGTTATTTTTTTTTCCTAGTACTGGGAGTTGAACTCACGACCTTGTGCTTGCCAGGCAGGCGCTGTGCCGCTGCGCTAAATCCCCAGCCCTATGTGTTGGTTCTTTTCATGTACAAAATGATTGTTTCATAAATTGGGACCAGAAAAATGACTTTGTTCATTGGGTACAATTTAGATCAGTTCATCTTTACTTGAGTGTTCTGCAGGGACATGAAAACAATGTTATTATCCAAAATCTAATGGGAATAAGATTCCACATGTGGCTGGGAGTCAGGTTCTAGGGGAGCAGATGTAGATGCGTCTGTGTATGGACAAGATACCAGGAAGGATAAAGTCCAAAATCTGACCATTGCATACATTCAATTTCCTTTTTGAAATAATTACTGAAAAGACTGACCCATAATTCCACCGTTTTGGCGTGTGTGTGTGTGTGTGTGTGTGTGTGTGTGTGTATGAGAGAGAGAGAGAGAGAGAGACAGAGACAGAGATACTGGGGATTGAACCCATCCCTTTTTATATTTCTTTTTTGTATTTTAAAGAGTAAAAGAAGGACAATATAGCAATAGGGGAATTCACCAAATTACAGACAAAGTGGTAGGACATTAGCAATGGTTGTATTTTACCTATTGGTATCTTCAAGATAGTTTCTCAGGAAAACAAATAGACAAATAATAGTGAGTTACAGACAAAAATGGCAGGAAATTATCAATGGTTGTTATACCATAGCTTGGATTCTTCAAAGTGGTCTCTAGGTGTATTTCTTTATTTTTGAAACAGGGTCTAGTTAAATCGCCAAATTGTCCAGGCGGGGCTCAAACTTGAATCCCCTGGCTCCAGCTGCTTAGAGCGCTGGAATATCAGCTGTGCCCAGCTAATTCTGCTCTCTTGAATGCATTTCAGCACTCCTCAATATTTCATGGCTTACCAATTGTTCCCTCTGATTGCCACTACATACTTTCTAAAAAAAAAAAAAAAACCAACAAAAAAAACCAGTATAAGAATTGTCAGCTGTTTATTTTTTGCCTACTCTGGCTCCTCAAATCACCTGAGGGCAGGGATTTTCCTGCGCCCGCGAGGCAAGGCGCTCACTTCTTGCTGACAATGGTAGCCGGGACAGAAGGTGCTGTTCTGGTCAGAGATGAGCGTCCCTGCGGGCTCAGCCCCACTTCCCGCTAGAGTATTCCGAGCGCTGCGGGACAAGGGTCTGTCCTTTCCTCCGCAGTGGCGGTTAGGGGCCGTGGGAAATCTCTCCTCGTCTGAAGTGCGAGGTGTTGAGCGCGCAAAGGCAGAGGCACGGTGCCCACTCTCTCGCGGGGCGGGAGGTCTGCGCCGCCGGTGGGAGGCGCTGCAGGGGCCACGCCGGTGTCTAGATCAGAAAGCCCCGCAAGGCTGCCCGGGCGACTACTGCCTCTGCGCTTCCTTCCCCTGCGGTTCTCAGTACGGGCCAGAACAACTGCGAAGTCCAAGGGCAGGGCAGGCGCGGGGGTCCTTTCCAGTTCCACCCTTCCAGACGCCCACTCGATCTACCCACGCCGGTCCGGAGATGGGAAAGGATGAGTCCCAGGATCTGCGCGGCGGGGCCGCACAGCGCTCGGTGCCAAGGGCGGAGCCCAGCCGCCTCCGGATCCCCCCACCCGCGCCGCCCGAACCCCGCCCCCGGCACAGGGCCCCGCCCCCCGCTGAGACCCGACTGGAGCGCCCGGTGCCCAGCCGGGGCCAGGGCGCCTCCGCGCGGAGAGGCTTCCGCTGGCCTGAGCGGCGGCCTCCGCATGGAGGGGCCGCTCGCTCCGTCCCCGGAGCCGGGGCCGCTCCCGCTGCCTTTGCAGGGAGGCGGAGCCGCCGCTGTTCCGGAGCCCGGAGCCCGGCAACACCCGGGACACGAGACGGCGGCGCAGCGGTACAGCGCCCGCCTGCTGCAGGCCGGCTACGAGCCCGAGAGGTGACGCCCAGGGCAGGGCGCGGGGCGCATCCGGGGCGGGCGGCCTAGGAGGGCGCTGCGGGGCAGGGGCGGGCAGGTCCGCTCACCCTTCCCTTCGCCGCCTCCACCCCTCGCTTCATTTCCGCAGCCACGCACCGGCTCTGGCTGGGGGGTGCAGGCGCGCGCTGTGCAAAGGAAGGGTTCGGCACCGCGCGTCGCTCCAGGGAGCGGGGAGAGGGAGCAGGTTGTTAAGTCGCTCGCTGAAGCCTTAGCGCTGGATCGGACCTTGACTACACACCCCACGACACCTGGTCCAGATGAACCCCAACTTCTGGCGGTCAAACAGTGCATTATAGAGTCTCTGTCCAACTTTGCTTCCTCCTCCTAAGTAGTCTCCACCTGGAACGGTCTCCGTCGTCTTAGTGGGAGGTGCAGGCGTCCAGACGGAGCGCCTTCCTGAGGTCAGGTGAAGACACTTCCCCTCTTCATCGCCCAGCGAGGTCCTGTGAGGTAGCGGCTGCCATTCACCTCCTAAGACTCGGGGTCCCCTGCTGGGTTATGGAAGAGGGTGAGGGTCCCGGAGGAAGAGTCGGGCTGTGAGCCGAGCCCCAGGGAACTGGCTGAAGGGGAGACCGTGGGCTAATCTCTGGATTGTATCGCAGTTTGAAATGCAATCTCAGTGCCCTTTCGGTCCAGAGGATTTGGACTTTTTTCTCTGTTTCATCTTCTGGTGACCTGGCAGCTGGTTTGCTTTGGGGTGAAGGGAGGGTGGTCTGGGGGAATTAGCCCGGTAGCTCTGCCCAGGGCCCGACTGCTTATGTAAGAACTTTTAAGGGCTTATGGGCTTGGACGCTGGCCCCCTCCGCACACAGGCTGCCTTCCTAGAATTGACTCAGGCTTAGGCAACCCCTGTCCTTCTGTCCTTTCTCCTATGTTAGAAATGCAGCTGCTGGTGTTCAGGGCTCAGGGTGACAGGGAGGAACCACGGTAAGGGAGGGAGCAGGCTGGGGCCCCAGGGCGCGCTATGGAGGCAGTGCCTTGCTCAGAGCAGGTAGTGCAGAAAGCATCATTTCAGGGTTCAGGCCGGTGCGCTCAGGAGCATGCCTTCTACCAGACTGGAGTGCTGCAGCAAGGGGCCACACCCGCCCCCCTGGGCTCAGAAGAGCTTTGTAAAACCTGACCCCAGCCAGATGGTGACATGAGGGAGATTCAAGACCTGCTAGCTAGATGTCATCTGCCTTCACCAACCCAGAGCTGTGGGGAGAGGCCGGGGTTCCATGAGAAGTTCTAGGTTTGAGTCCAGTGCAACTGCTCTCGATCCAACTTGGGCGAGCTGTGACCCCTGTTATTACCTTTTCTCTCCTAAAAGTGTTTTGAAATCTTGTCCCTTCAAACAGCCCTGACCAGACAGACTTCTGTGCTCCCTGCTGGACCTCAGTACCCTGCTGGGTCCTATTGCCTTGTTCTGCTGAGGAGGGGGCTCAGACCTGGCCCCTTCCCCTTAAGGCTGCTAGCTGGGGAGTCTCAGGGGACCCGCAGTCTTTCCTTGGGCTGAGGAAGCGCAGTGGTTGCCCCGGTGTCTCCTCCCCGCGGAGGAAGCAGCTGGGGAAGATCAGGAAGAGGGAGGAGGGGATGTGGTGGATTAAGTCTCTGGAAATGGACAGCCTAACCCAGGGCTGAGCCTGGCAGCTTAGAGTAATGAGGAGCCTGACACAGGTCAAAGCCGGAGGGGGTGGGGAGTGAAGTCTAATCACTGGAAGGTGACCCTCCCCATAAATTGACCTCCTCCCCAGGGCCCAGTGTCTTAAACAGGATAGATGTCACGTTAAGGTCACCTGAGATGGCAGAGCTCTGCTGCTTTCCTGGGGGACCAGCCCCGGAGGGACCCTGATGAGTACCCTAGTCATTCTTGACACACACTGCAGGGTATAGTGACCCGGAGAGACCACTGGGGCTGCCAATGCTCTGAGCCTGCAGTTCCTCTGCAGGCAGAAATGCCACAGTGCTTTCCCTGGCTGATCTCACTGATCTGGCCCTAGGTGGCCAACATAAGGTCCTCGTGAGGTCCTCCCAGGTTGTCCTCCCAGTATGGCTCAGGCTCCAAAGGTGAGTGCTAAAGAATGGCAGGTGCTTCCCAGGTACTGCTGGCAAGCTGGCCTCAGCTCCCACAGAGCTGGGAACACTGGCAGTGCCCACCCTCTTTCCGCCGCCTGCTGGCCTTGAGAGGCCCACATCAGGAGCCTTCCTTTGGGCTGCACCGTCAGGGAAGGAAGCCTGGGGGTCTGTGATGTCCCCATCCCTTCCCCTCGCAGTAAGAGACAAGAGGGTATCTGTGAATCTCCTCCAATGCTCTGGGCCCTGTGAGGGCCCCCCCTTCCCTCTGTGCATGGATGGAACAGTCTGTTTTCTGGCGGGGCCCCTGGGGCATCGTTGGGAAGCTGGGCATCCCAGGAGCCGGTGGCTTGGAAGCCCAGGGTCCCCTGGGCCTGGCTGCCACCACACTGCTGAGAGGTAAACAAGCCCAGCCTCACAGAGCCCGGGAGAGAGCTTGCCTGTGCCACAGTGAGCCACCCTGCCAGGGAGAGGACTGTGTCCCTGTCTACCTCATTCTCTCACCTCATCAGAAGTGAGCCGAGAGCAAAGGGAGGAGATGGTGGAGTCTGGTGAGGCAGCAGCATTAGCAGTTCTGGTCATAGAAGAGGGAAGGTCCTGTTGCCACAGTGTCCCTCACATGAGTCATTCCGCTTGCTACCTTTTTTTTTTTGTCTTTTTAAGACAGGGTCTCGCTGTGCAGTTCAGGCTGGGCTTGAGCTCACTTTGCAGCCCAGACTGGTCTCGAACTCACAATGATCCTCCTGCCTCAGCCTCTGGAGTGCTGGGATTACACCACACCCGGCTCCACTTGGCTTGCTACCTAATCCTATTTCCCTCAGGTAGGGATATGGGTCTTGCTTGCCCCAGGCCACCAGACTTGAGCTGTGGGAAATGTTGACCTCTGATTTGTGTACATACTTACTTGTCTGAGCCAGGCTAGTGAGCCTTGCTATCTTCCCTCCCAAATAAAAACAAACTTTCTGGGGCCAGATGCCTAGTTTTTTTTTGGGGGGGGGTGTACCAGGAATCGAACTCAGGACCTTGAGCTTCACGGACAGGTGCTGTGCTGCTTCCCTATATCCCTGGCCCACATTCTTAATCTCTAAACTAGTTTCTGAGCTGAGGAGGGTAGAACAGTCCGCTGAATCCTTGGACCAGCGATCAGAAGCTGTACCCTTCTCACTTTTGAAACTGAATGTCCTATGGGGGGGGGTGCCTAATAATTAGCAATTAATGGCTTGTGGAGTAAATGTGGTTACTTATGAAAAATGCTTTGCGGACTGCAGAGGGCTCTAAGGCCGCCCAAAGGTCACAAGTGTCATTGTTAAAAATGCCTGAGCCCCAGGAATGATCTTGGGTCGGGGTGAGCGGTCTAACTTACACCTCCTGTATGTTACGGAGTTGCGTGTGTGTCATGGAGCAGCTTGTCAGGGCCCGAGGATTGGCAGTAGGGGACAGCAGAATCACGTTAGAGGTACGCCTGGGGTAGGCAGCGGGGACCCTGGCAGGCAGGGCCCAGTGCCCGGGGGCCTGAGGACGCGTGCAGATCGGGAAGGGGGCGTGGCCCGACCGGGCTCTGTCCCCTCCCCCGCTGGTCCCACGTCGCCTTCCGCGGCTCGGCGCTGCCGATGCGGGCGGCCCGGCCTGCGGGCGGCG